AGCATGCCGCCCAGAAGGTCGCTCATCACAGCGAGTGGCTAATGCGCGAATGCGAAATGCACACCAATTATTATTGTGACCGCCGAGAAATTCGGGATGGAGATATCTACTTTCTAGGTGTGGTTTACCGGATACGACGTACGCTGCCAATCAGGTTCTCAGGCACATTTGAATATGCACGCCAAATCTGCTATACAACCAGACAGATCGCTTCAAGGTGAGAAGCCCGTTGTTAGTAACAGTCAGTTTTTTGGTACAACCCCCCAAATGTTCTCAGACAGTCAACACTTCGGCCGGAACCTGCACGTGCATATTTTACCAATCAATGTGGCTAGCTTGTGTACACCTATTTTCAGCATTCAGAGACCACTCGTTCCCAAGCGGTAAGTTAATTAATCGGACATGCAGTGCCTAGGTCAATTTCCAATCCATCAAAGGTGGCTTGCCGAATACAACCTACCAGAGGGAGGAGTACCTTTATCTCTGGTTCCAAAGCCAGAGCCATCGCCAATAGAGCATTTGCACAAGCAGCTTGCTCGGTTGGTTGGCAAACTGAAGCTGTCGGAACCACGTAAGGCCGCCGAGTGCATGAGGCGTCTGATTGTCCAAAGCCGAGTCCAACAACGGTGGCGTTCGACGTCAAACGACGCTGTTCTCTGTGGTCTCTGTGGCCATCCAACTGACCCTGCTGATTGGTGGTGTCAACATGATCGACTTCCATGTCACTGTTATTGCTGCGGCAATGAGTCCTACCCGCTGTGTGGAGAAAATCATCAGGCGCGTCCACCAGGTGGGTGCACATGTGTCAGTTAATCTTTTCCCATTATTTGCTTGTCAGTCTACATGCCGGTCAGCTAAAAGAGCTTGCTTTGATGTTGTTCTTGATCGGTCCATAGAGGACGAGTCGAGTCTGCCCCGTAAGACAGTCGCAATAAAACCGTTTTGTCCAATTTCGGAGTTGATGGAGACCGGTAATTTGAGGCCCAACTTCTTAGCATACGCTTTGTGGACCTTGCTTTCGAATCCCGTGATGACGAGGAATTCGTGTGACAAGTTGGGTGAATTTGAGTACATTTGTGAGTATAACAGGCTGTCAGATGTGGCTATCACGCATAGCTGAGGCTTTATTTTCACCGGTCGGCATATATATTGCACTGATGTTCACTGTAGCCAGCCTGGACAAGCGGTATCGCGTATAGTTAAGGGCATAAAAGACCGTCATTGACCATCGGATTATGTTACTGTGCATAGGTGCAGTCTCATTATCAACGTTGCACATGAACCTTGGCCTAGCAGTTACAACAATTATTCGAGATGAGTGAAAGCTGGTAGAGATATGAGTACAAGGGGTCGACATTGCTCATTGGACTGGGCTGCCGCGCATATGTGGGGAACCGTAATTAGCGTCGCACATAGACACGGATCCAGCAGCTACAATAGGTAGTCGAGGTGAGTGACAACCGCTACCGTCATCGTGGTGACAGCTTTATGGTGGTCACCACCTTTAGAACATCATAGTTGTAATAGGAAAGACGCCCACAGCTATCTCGTATCAGTATTACCTTCAAGCTAGTTATGCATATCTGGGAAACGGTATCATCCACAGATGTCCCTCGCACTGCCACTGTAAGTTTTTGCTGTTACCTAACTTTATTGCACTTAATGGAACATGAGAACCATGAGGAAAATTTGTTGTGAGCAGGTACGCCGAACAAAAATATCCCATTTGTTAATCTGAGGCATCTAAAGCAAACAAACGCCTGCGACTGATCCTATAGGGTGGCATTTAGTTAAATACTGTTAAGATGTTATTTTATTCTTCAGGAACGCCAAAATATGCTAAAGTGCGGTTTCGTGTTTTATGTCGCGCAAATCGGCAGAAAATGCAAATCGGCGGTGGTCAGTGACCTTGACATTTCGCTCACTAAAACAAAATGCTACGTGCAGCATGTCACTGGAAGGTGCAAATTGATTAGACTAACTCCCCATTAAAATAGCAACTTCGAAAGCCCCAAAATTTCGACGAACTCAATTTGGGTGTGCCAACAGCCTGCCGCCTCCGTTTTCGCGCAATGGTTTTGATTTTTCCATACCTCTGACGTGTCCCTCATGGGCTACGCAATCGGTAACTGAGTTCAGAGTTGCAGCCCAAAATTTTGAGCCCTGTCTAGGCAACTGGGGTCTCTGCGATGCTGGGAAATTATTCAATCAGACATCTTCTCCAGATGTTTGATTGCTTCTTTGGACGATGAATTCGGGTAAGCTGCAAAAGTATGAACGTAAATTAGAATGGCTTTTGGCTTGAGCACATAGTTGTAGAGGTTTCACAGCTACGAGCATTGTGTGGCTAATTAGACCCTGTATAGCCAAAATTGGACCCAACAACTGTTATTGATGCCGTATCCGCGGAAAGCCGATTGTCGACACTTCATCCACAAGGAGTGGGAATTTTCAATATGTTTCCACCTCATTCACTTTATGTGCGACCGGCAACACAACTTTCTGACCTGCTTTCAGGCGGTTAAGACATGGTGTAAAACTTTGTTGGTTCTTCACACGAGGATGGCATCCTCGAAGGTTCGGGCCGAGAACTCAACTGAGGCAGCACTGTTCCTGCACATGGTGAGCGGGATTGCATGGTGACTGTTGAATTTAATTAGCTCCAAGAATTATTGCGGCAGTACCGGAAACAGTTCGAAAAGCACAACTAAAGCTCATCGAGTCATTGGCTGAGATATTTCATATATAGACACAACGGCCTATGCCAGTGAGTCAAACGGGGATCTAGCTGCGGCCTTAATTCACGAACCCACATTCGGGCCTCGCTTTTGATTCCTATTGAGAGCGGTACGTCAATAGTATCGTAAGTGATTTTTTTCAAGTTCGATGACGGATGGAAATTGAGATTTGTTCCGCAAGAACTCGGTACACTGGAGGAATAACAGTGTGCAAAATCCCTTCATTCCAACCAAATCCTGCGACCCCGGATTTGATGAAAACTTCAGAACTCTATCGCCGATTTTCGGTGGCTAAACATCACTGTTCAGTATCCGTTACAAATAACGATAGTGTTCTCATCAAGGTTCCCGCTGTCGCCAAGAGACTGGACCTTACCGTGGTGTGACGGTTTGTATACCTCGGAGACCCATCGAGCTATGCTAGGAGGTGTCGCGCGACACTCAGTGTCTTTTACATCAGGTTGGTCCATGAGTAGAAGTCTGACGAACACAGTCTCCCGGCCCTCCAGGTTGGGGGTAGGATCATGGCGACGTGTTCCGTAAAAAATGGTAATGTACTTGCATTTCCAGCCAGACGCCGCTGCCTTGCCTTTAGACATTTAAGCCAAAGGCTTTGGTCGAGGACCCTAATCGACTTCCTGTCTAGTTGTGGGTGCCCTGGCAGTATCCCAGCCCTCGTACAATCATGACATCTACAACTAACAATGCTCTAATACCCATTGGCCGTCGTGTGGTGCCATCAGCCGGGTCGCCCCACTTGCTGCATACAGCAGGGCGGGTAAGCGAAAACATGCTACTGCTGACGCCGCCCTTCTCACTGTTCCACATTTTCCGTTATCCACCAACCCTCACTCAAATTTAAATACTTTCTGCACAGGTCCCAGCTCCAGGACTGACCGTTTTGCTCGCCCTGCATCACACTCAGCTGCAACTTCCGTACGTCCGAGTTCAGTGAAAACCACAAACACTTCGAAGTGTTTTTCAAGCCCCGAAAGCCTGTCTGCTTAGCCGCCTTCAATGTTCGCACACTGAAGCAAGCAGGTCAACAGGTGGCTCTTGCGCGTACGCTGGATCCCCTCTGTATTGATTTATGTTGCCTGTCAGAAACAAGGACGGAGGACGCAAGTACTGTAATCGAACTGACTGCCCCGTCGCTCTCTTCCAGGTTTCGACTGCGAACCTCTTGTGATGCAGAGGCCGCTACAGCTGGATATGCTGGGGTGGGTATTGTATTGAGGGAACGAGCGGAAGCGTCTCTGCGTGATTGAATGCCCATTAATAGTCACCTCTGTGCGGTTCGCTTGACAACATCTGGGAGGAAACTCAGAGGAAGTGAGGTTCATCGCACCTTGTTTATTGTTTCTGCTTACGCCCCAACTGACTGTAGCTCTGAATCTGCCAAGGACAGTTTTCATGACGCTCTAGGTGCCCTTTGACAGCAGGCTAAGAGCTCAGATGTCGTTGTGGTTGGTGGTGATATGAACGCCCAGGTAGACAGACCAAGCGCTCCAGTGGCCCGATTGGGTTGTCGTCTTAGTTTGGGCACGAGACGCACGGACAACGGAGACCGCCTACTTCAGATGTGTGCCGATCACAGGCTGTTCCTTTGCAGTACGAATTTCCGGAACAGCAGAAATCGATTGACGACGTGGTGCCCACCATCAAACCAGCGCCGAATCCAAATAGACCACATCTCCATCAGTTATCGGTGGCGAGGGTCGATCAATACCTGCCGCTCCTTCTGGAATACCAGCGTCCAGTGAGAAGCTAGTGGACCCAGAAATCAAACCAAAATATCAGAACAAGCTCCTCGACTGCCTGCCGGACGGCACGGTGTCGAATATAAACGGCCACTGGGAAAAAATATCCAAAGCGCTACTCAAAGCCGAAACATCTGTTTGCGGTATAACCCAGCCAACCCCATTCAAGCCTCGGATCTCTGATAGGACCGTGAATTTGCTAGAGACCCGGCGATAGATTCCACCTCACAACTGCCACAACTCCACCCGGCGGATCATCCGACGTCAGGTGAAACTGAGTGTCCGCGCAGAGCGAGAAGCTTGGTGGACCCGAAAATTCGAAGAAATGGAAGATGCAAAAATGTTGGAAACGTGCACAAATTATTCCACTTGATTCGTTCGACTGGTCCTCGGAAACCTCTTGTCAGCGAAATAATCAGGGACAAAATTGGCTCCCTGATATGCAGCAAAACAAATCGTTTGGACCGGTGGGCACCGTACTTCGACCAGGAATTCAGCTGGCCATCTGCTACCTCCAATCCAGAAACCTGGTTTTCAACAGAAAGATCGACCGTAAATATGGAGCAAAATTAAGTCTCAGAAATGTCCGAATATATTTTTCTAATCAGGCGTCATTGCGCTGCTGGTCCTGACGACATTTTACCTGCTCATTTCAAGGATGGCAGTGAGTTATTCAGCTAGTGCATGTCTAGCCTATTTGGGTCTATCTGGGAGAAGGAGGCCGTCCCAAACGACGGGGGTGAATCGATAGTAGTGAATCGGAAGCACTGCTGACTTCTGTTTGTTGCTGCTTGCTGGTGGCTCGCCTCGGTAGAGTTATAAAACTGGACTCTCATCTGTAAAAAAAGAAAAGAAAGAAAAATAAAAGATCACTTGGGATAGCCTGAAAATACTCTGCAATGCCCATGACCTACATCGGCGAGCACAGTTGTATCTGCTTTCGTCAGGACAGAGGCTACACCACACCAAAGCCCATTCCGTCATCCAAACAGAGAATACATCTACTCACCACTCACAGTGGTAGACACGAAAGTCTTCACCGCTATGCATCACCTACAGATTAGAGCTGATAGCAGTGCTTCGGGGACTGGTGATTATTTCCCAAGCACACACTTTCTCCCCTGGTATATATCCGACTCATGTAATAAACACTCGATTAGCCATTAGCTCAGAATTCCATTCCCGCCAGCCCTTACACACCTGATTCCCATACCACGCATTTG